TTAATGAATCTAGACATATGTAGATTCATTAACATCAAAATGAATGTGGGCAATACTAGAAAGTCTTACATTGTGAAACGGAGAAAGTATAAACTTTTTTTAGATAATGGTAACAAAGAAAAACATAGTATTCAGTCAAAAAAAATAAATCATAGTAATACTATGTTTTTTTTCTGAAAAGAATCATATGTGCTATTGACTTTTGGATACACGTTTAACCATTCGTCTTATTTAAAAAACTTTACATAATTATCGTTTATTTTGTTGTGAGTTGTTATTACTAAAAGTATTTTAAGCATAATTTATATCTTATGAATGTAAGATGAATGGTCAAACATGTGTCTAATTGTTAACGGCGTTATCTATTAAAAATGAGTACATACATGGACATGACTATAACTATGAAGAAAAATGTTAAGTAACATGTAATAAGATATTTCGTCATGCGATCGGTAAGTATGAAATTAGTGTAAGTTTAGTTCCAAATGATTTAATCTAGCTTTTCTGCTTGTATTTTAATCAAGTAACTAATAATAAGCCTTATATGTCTTCTTATCGGAAATTAGCCTTCCAAAAGTTTGCTAATTCATCTCATTTAAACAAGTTCAACAAACTTAAAATTTCAGTACAGTAGTGCAAGTTCAATACCCACCTTTGTCTGTTTTTTGTGTTAGAATTTTAATCGTGCATGCATTTGTTTTATGATTGGCCTAACGACATGTTCGCTAACTAATCTCTCTTTACTCGAGTAATTAACCTATGTCAAGGTTAGGGCAGTCCTATATTGCAAGACCTATGATTCAATTAATCTTTTCCTGTAATTTAATGTATTTATGAGCGTGTTGGAAGGAGCGTCTACGAAGAAAAGGTCAATGCTACGACGCCCCCATTAATTCCACAATCTTCTGTCTTCACGTTTGGAAAATGAGGAAAATATCTCGACGAAACGATAAAAACAAGGAAATGTAAATAAACAACTAAAAATGAGTGAAAAAGATAAGTCAACGAGAAACAGGAGAATATGATGACACTCCTCCATCGCTCGATGATCACTTCATGTTAAAAATCTCTATGACATATATTGAGATCTCGCTATCTCGGGCAAGATATTATTTGAACGTGGGAATTTGGTTGGATTTTGTCCAAATTGCTTGAAATTCAACTAAAATTGTCAAAATTTAAAAATTTTCCCATAAGTTTACCTAGAGATATTCCTATCTTGTGTGCCCTACATATTTCAATGAGGTCGAAAAAAAAGCCCTACATATCAATGTTTCGCTTAGCTTAATGCAGTAACACAGGCATTGGGATCTCGATCTTGTTACTGGGTGCTTCACACTCACACATCGTAACTCTATAGTTCGTGGGGTGACAAAAATTGGAGTGCCTTCCCAGGTTTCTTTTCGATTCGAGTTCTAGGACCAGCACCGTAGAGAGTAGTCACAATGTTAAATACTATCAGTAGTTTCTATATTTTCCGGGGAACCATTGTTTATATATAAGACAGAGCTATAAAACTATTCACATAAAATTTGTCCTGGCAGACAAATTTGCGTCGTTATGCACACACTCGCTCAGCAAAAATGACTCAGGTGGCCAAAGTCCTTTCGCTGGATTTGAGGAGGCACTTTGCCCCCCGACTATCATCGGTTGCATCTGATCAATTCACATGCCTTTGTGCCCTCCTGGCTGAGCACCCAGTGACAAATGGCCAAATGGATGTGCGTAGGTCAATTCATAACAATGATATTCTGAAGACAAGCCATGCATACCTAGCTGAATGTTGCGGACTTCCCCCCTGCCCCAACGGGAAGTTTATATGGAATAATAAGGCTCCGCTCAAAGTCTAGTTCTTTGCCTAGCTCCTGGCTAAAGATCGACTCCCGACGAAGAGAATCCTTCATAAGAAAAACATTGTGTCCTCCCCTAACTGTGATCTTTGCAATTCTCCTGAAGAAACGGCTTCGCATTTGTGTTTGCATTGCCCTTTTGCTGTGGCATTTTGGAACAACCTTCATATCCATATCAACATTACATCAATGAGCGAGCTGGCCTCCCTTCTCCTGCCTCATCAAATTCCTGGCAAACATTTTAGGGTGTTTTATCTCTTGTGCTTCTGGTGCCTTTGGAATCATCGCCATGGAGTGGTCTTCAGACATGAAGAAGCTTCCCTGCTCCGGATTTTCACTATGTGTGTCACTGAAGCCACAATGTGGGCTGAGCGACTAAAGTTTGATGATCGTCATGTAGTCTCGGCTTGGAAATCTCTTTTTTCTTCTTCTATTCGCTCTCTTGATGTATAACTGAACTTCCTGTTCCTATTGCGTCCTAATGATCAATGAATTCAAGTGGGGAATCTCCCCCCCCCCCCCCGGTGAATTTTCTAAAAAAAAAAGATAAGGAAAAAAAAACCATTCTTCAAGATCAGGCAAGAAACTAGTACCATATGTAACTCTACTAATACATATACTACTACTTTAACATGTTAATTTAATACCACTAAACTCTTATCATATTAAGCATATTATGTAGTAGAAAAGTCATATTTTTCATGATTAAATCTCTTGCTACATCACCATCAATCTTAATTGTTAGCTCAACTTTAGTTCTATGAAACCATCCAAGGTGGAGCATTGAGAATGCCCTTACCTATGCTTGGACATCTGCAGTTTGTGAAGGTTCTTTGAATTGTTTTTGGGTACTTTTCATTGTTTTCTGAATTTTACATGTTCCAAAATGACTTTAATTTGATTTTAAAATTTTACTTGTGTTGTTCCAAATTCTCTGAGCATGGTAGTTTTTTTTTAATTTTTTTAATTATTTTAACAGTATTTTTAATGCAATATATACGTTTTTATTAATTTGGTGGTTTCGACCTAATATTTGTTTCAATCCAAGCCCATCGCCGTGGCACTGCTTTCTTTGAAAAGCACGTCTCATTCAAAATCGCAGAATTAATTTCAATCTATTTTTTCCCTCGACGCATTTATTATCCAGCCTTATTTTTATGTTTGCTAATAAGAAATCCTAGCTTAAATTATTATTGAAAATAACATTTCAAAATCTTATCTTTTTAGGGAAAAAAAAGCTAAAGTGGGGCTAATATGATGAAAAATTGGATAATGTGCCATTGTCAAAACTGGGTTTCGCCGAAATGCTACCCCGCAAAAGAGATTCGTTAAAATGCCATTTTTCACCCCGTGGCTACAAGCTATAATGCTATCCGAGACCAAATTGCCCTTGCCTTCCTCTATCCCCCATCTTCTCTTCCAACTCCGGCTATCCCTGTTTTCCTCATCCTCTGGCGCGGCGGTGCAGATGGGGAAAAGGCAGCACCGAGCACGTGCGTTGGCTGGCGGCGGTGGTGCAAATGGGGGAAAGAATGCTGCGACGCAGATAGGGGGAGAAGGCAGCGACGTGCGTGTGCTTCAGGCGGCGGCGGCGCAGATGGGGAAGAAGGGAGCGGCGCACGTGTGCATCACTGGTGGCAGTAGCACAGATGTGAAGAAGACGGTGGCGGCGCAGATGGGGAAGAAGGAAGCAACTACACATGCCTAGGTAAGAAGAAGGAGAACGAGGGTAATTTGGTCCCGTATAGCATTGTAGCTTGTAGTCATGAGTTGATATTGGCATTTTAACAAATCCCTTTTGCGGAGTGGCATTTCGGTGAAACCTAGTTTTGGCAATGGCAGAATGTCCAATTTCTATAATATGACATGCTGAGATAGCTAAAACGCATGTCATTGAGGCCTTATCTTTTCGCTCATGCTTATCAGCGGAAACTAAAATTTGATTGATTTTAGGTTTTTTTATCATCGTTTATTTTCCCGTTTTTTTGCTTTTAAATCATTAAGAATACGTATATAAAAGTTTTATTTTAAATTATTTTTTATTTATAAATATGTCGCTTGACTTAGTTCCTGAAATAAGACAAACGATCGGGCTGTGAAGTTGTATGTAATGAAAGCAAATCAAGTAGGGCTATCACTACAGTAGTACCAAAAGTAAAGGAGAAACCGTACATAATTTGAAAGAAAGAGAAAGTCAGAAAACCACATAATTATGCATGGCTCTCGCTGCAACTTGGTCCGTGACCCACACGAGTCCTATTAAAAAAAAATCAAAACAGCAGTAGTTGAGCTTATTTAAAAGGGGAGATTTTCTTTTCCTTTTCATTTCGAGTCCACATACGTTTGGAGGCACAGAAAAAGGAAAAAAAAGAAAAGAAAAACAAAAAGTCAGAACATCTGCACTTGATTTCTTATTCACGCAACTCCATTAAAGTCTAACCATTGACTTTTTTCCCCTGCCCGCTCTTACACGGCACGTCTCATTCAAATATGAACTCTCGCACAGTGAGGAATCCCAAATTGAGAAGGAAAAAAAATGAAAACAAATTTCTTTTTCCTCTGACTTGTAGCTCTACAACTACGCGTCGTTTTCTTTATTATTTATTCGTGTATAAAAACTTTTCCTTTCTTAATTCTTGCCAAAAAAAAAAAACTGGTCACGAATAATCGTCTCCTAAAAAAAAAAAGTCTCTAGTCTCAGCGCGATAATTCTCCCGCGAACTGCGCACTGACCCCGCGTGACCAATTGACATGTCGGCCACCCAACAAGTGGGCCCACCTGTCAGTGACTGTGGGATCAGGGAGCGTCTGGTTCGCTCGGTACGCGTAGCGCGATGCGGTCGCTTGTCTCGTAGTTGGAACCAACTAGCCCCCGTGACCCCACAACGCGTCGGATTCTGATTGGGCGAGACCCACCTCGTGGCCACTGTTGCATGGTCAACTTTCCCACCCATCCGAGCCGTCCATCCCATCCAACGGCGCGTACGGATCCACCGCCTGACGCCGGTGGCGCCGGTCGACGATCCATCCCGACCGTCCGATCGGGCTCGCGCGTTGACTATAACCGGTCCACGCCGTGACCGCCACCGGCTGCTCCCGGTGACCGCGTCGCGTCGTTTTATAACCCCGACTACGTTAGCCTCCTCCCACTTCTTCTTCTTCTTCTTCCCCCCATTTCTCACTTACTCCGGCGATCACCGTGGTTGAGCGTCGGCGGCGGAGGAGGAGGCGATGATTACCATGGATCTGATGGGTGGGTACGGGCGGGTGGACGAGCAGGTGGCCATCCAGGAGGCGGCGGCGGCGGGGCTAAGGGGGATGGAGCATCTTATTCTGCAGCTGTCCCAGACTGGGACGAGCGAGAGGTCGCCGGCGCCGGCGCAGGAGCAGCAGCAACAGGTGGACTGCAGGGAGATCACGGACATGACGGTGTCCAAGTTCAAGAAGGTGATCTCCATGCTGAACCGCACCGGCCACGCGCGGTTCCGGCGGGGCCCGGTGGTGGCGCAGTCGTCGGGCCCGGCGGCGTCCGAGCCGGCGCCGGTGAGGTCGTCCCCGTCGGCGGTGTCGAGGCCCATGACGCTCGACTTCACCAAGGCGGCGTCCGGGTACGGCAAGGACGCCGGGTTCAGCGTCTCCGGCATCTCCGCCGCGAGCTCGTCCTTCCTCTCGTCGGTCACCGGCGACGGCAGCGTGTCCAACGGGCGCGGCGGCGGGTCATCCTCCCTGATGCTTCCCCCGCCGCCGGCGACCAGCTGCGGCAAGCCACCGCTGTCCTCCGCCGCCGCCGCCATGTCAGCCGGCGCAGGCCACAAGCGCAAGTGCCACGACCACGCGCACTCCGAGAACGTCGCCGGCGGCAAGTACGGATCCACCGGCGGCCGCTGCCACTGCTCCAAGCGCCGGTAAAAATCTTCACGACTCCCTCCATTTCCCCCACCTCGAATTGAACTCATCGGAATTAATTTTCCAGGAAGCATCGGGTGAAGAGGACGATCCGCGTGCCGGCGATAAGCTCGAAGGTGGCGGACATCCCCGCCGACGACTTCTCGTGGCGGAAGTACGGGCAGAAGCCCATCAAGGGCTCCCCCTTCCCACGGTGAGCACCGCACTGCCCCGCCGTCTCTCCTCACTCCGTCGACATTAACACTCAAAACTAATCGTAATCCCCTCATTTTTGCAGAGGATACTACAAGTGTAGCACGCTGCGCGGTTGCCCGGCGAGGAAGCACGTGGAGCGCGACCCGACCGACCCGTCCATGCTCATCGTCACCTACGAGGGCGAGCACCGCCACTCCCCCTCCGCCGCCGGCCAGGACCACCCGCCGGCGCCGCCTCCGCCGCTGGCGCTGCCGCTCGCCTGAGATACCCCCGGTGAAGAAGAGTGAGAATTAGCTTGTCGGTCATCATAATTACCGTTAGAAATTATTTTTTTCGTTTTTCTCTCTTTTTTTTTCTTTTTTTTACTGCATCATTGTAGAACTAGCGTGTAAAACAATTTTAGGAGACTTTGAGACTGAGCTTTTACTGAAGAAAAAATAAAGCAGAACAAAAAAAAAAGAGAAGAAGGCGATCGAGACTATCAGTAGAGTAGAGAGTAGAAAAAGGCGTGCCGGAATTGAAGATTTTGACCGCGCATGCGAATTTGTTTATCAACTCGGGTTCAATCCCGCGGATTGGGGTCCGGTGGAGGTCAAAAGGAGGTGGGGCCCGGGGTGTTGAACGTTGCCCCCCGCCCACGGTCCTCGTGCGGGGCCCACGCGACAGTGACGGGGAGGGTCCCTCGTGTGTGTAAGTGTGGACGACGCGGTCAAAGAACGCGGCGTGGGGTGGGGCCCACCACGGCCTTGGCCTCCGGCGTCCGCCTCGCCCGCGCTGCCAACGTTGACTCGTGTCAGCCAGGCTGGAATCGGATTCGCTACGCCTCTCTGTCTCACTCTCTCTCTCTGTGTTTCGTATCATTTCGAATGGGACATTCGAGTTCGATATCTTGATGCGCTGTTTGGAGAAAGTTTTATAATAGAGGAAATTATCAACTTTAATTAAGTATGATAATACAAACTGATATTATAATATGGAGTATAAACGCATACGTTCACAATGTCTCACATCTATGATTACTCACGCACACCCTACCCTTACATATCCAGAAGACTTTGGTGATATATTTTATATTGATGAAATCATCGTAGACGTCTGATCGTCAACCGGTGCATTGCTAACATAAAAACTAATTACCATAAATATGAATACCTATAATAAGTGTAGAAATTGAAATTAGGTGGACTGGTTCCATCACAAGAAAATCTAACCAGTTGACCCATGCTATAAGAAAATATGTATATAAAGTTCTTTTAAAAAATACATTTGGATGGTTTAGGAAGTGTTCTCACCATAAACAACCGAGTTAGGAAGATTTAAACGTAATTACACTACAATTATTTTATATTTATATTTGATAAATTTTATGAAGAAAAATTGTCATCAAATGTATTGAAAATTTGATGGGGATTATGTATTGGGGTGTTGCTGTTTGTTTATACCTGTAGGACCATGATGTGTTACATGAAGGATTGTCAATATCCCGATCCTGACTATCTTGGTTACATCCCTACTACGTTTAATGAATGGAGTAGATCGGATCGGAAAAAAAAACCTCAATCATTGTCTAGGGAAGTAGGGATTATATTATTAGTATACTACTCCCTTCATTCCAAATTGATCTATATATAGTTTTTTTAAGGTTATTTTTAAATGATCTACGACATATTTATGTTCATTTATTAAGTCTATTCGTTATTTGTGCATTGGAGTAAATGGACATTAATGCATGCATCCATGCATATAAGTATTTATAACCCACATGCAATATCTTGATTTGCTATTGGTTAGGAAATAGTATGGATGGTGTATGCATTGAGTTTGTTGCTAAAGTAAATATAGTATAAGGGCACCTACAATGGTTATCTATAGACTCTCTACAAGAGATCCATGTCAGCATATTTTCCTACTGGAAAGAGATTAAATGAAGAGAGAGAGCAAAACTATCTACTAATCTGGAAATAGTCTATAGAGAAAAACGAGGCAATGGATTAGAGCAAGTTCAATAGTATAGCCAACTACCAGCTCCAATTCATCTATAGCCAATCTAATAGCTCATTCATACAATAGTTACATGCTACACTATTAATATCTGGTCCCACCTGTCATGCACACACTGTGTCTTGGAGTCCGTGATACAGCTGGCTACAAATCTGTAGCCCGCTGCCCTTCTCTCTCTTCATTTATCTTCTTAAAATATGTTTGCAGCTGGCTTATAGCCTGCTATTGTACCTGCTCTTAGAGAGCTATAGATACCCATGTAGACATGTCATTGAAGTGGTTTACTATTAATCTAGTCTATTGCTGAGATGTACATGTTTTATAGATAGCACCTTACTTTACCATTGCAGGTGTTCTAAGAGAGTTATTAGCTCTTTTTTTTATCTTGGTGTACCTATGAAATATGTAGATCAATTTGAAATGGGGGAGTATTATCATGGTGATTTTGCTAGATCTTGACAGAGATTTTATTGATTAGTGGAGATGTTGCTAAGCCATGAGATTATACGTGGTGTTTACTCATCAACCTCGTTCCTAATTCCCGCATTACGCGTGAGATCTCCTCCGGATGGAGACTGTCACCGGCTTCGAGCTATAATGACGTGATCTCTCCGTTTCATATTATAAACCGTTTGATATTTTTCTAGTTAATTTTTTTTAATTTGATGAAGTTTATAGAAAACATAGTAGTAACATAAAACAAATATATTATAAAAATATATTTAATGAAGCTAATTTGATATTTTATATATTACTAAATTTTTTCTATAAACATGATCAAACTTAACATATTAGAAAAAATGTTAAATGGCTTATATATAAGATGGAGGGAGTAGTATGAATGAGGAGTGGACAAGTGAATGATAGGAGAGAGATCCAACAGTGTTGAGAACGGCTGTTTGACTTGGCTGGGAGGCAGCCTGCATGGGTACGTGTCCGTATGCCCACTTTGATACATCTCCGTTCTAAAGCACGTGACGCTGGTCCCACCTGTCAGCGAGCACCTCCCCTTTTGGTTTGGCAATTCTGGTGGGGCCGGAGGATGCTAGGGAGATAGGTTGGGTTTGGATTGATTTTTGCTTTGGAATTTGGTTTGTGGATGGAAGCGGTGGCAACGTTGGAAAGGAAAGGGGATGAAAGGAGGAGATATTGGTGTTGGTGGTGGGTTTGAGAGAGCAAAAGTCAAAACGGCATCTTTCATCTTTTTGTGTCCAGAGGGGAGGGGGGCAGGTGGGTTTGTCCCATTGGGTGTGAAACTGTGAATGTGTGCTCTTGTGTCCCTACCACCACTATGCTTTGGAGGCTGGATCTGATGTGGCCTTCCGCCTTCGATGCCGTCTAACCTACCACTATGAGCAAGTTTAATAGTATAGCTAACTACTAGCTCTAAATTATTTATAGACAACTTAATAGTTAATTCATACAATAGTTATCTATAAATATATACTACACAATTAATATATAGTCTTATCTGTTATACACATATTGCGTCTTAGAATCTGTGTTGCAGCTAGCTATAAATCTGTAGCCCGTTGCGCATCTCTCTCTTCTTTAATCTTCTCGATATATGTTTATAGCTAGTTTATAATATGCTATTGTACATGTTCTAACTGCTTGTTCGACTAGTCATTTTTGTGGTTGTACCTGTGGTTAGGGTTTACTCCCTCCGTAAAAAAAAAGACAAACCCTGGGTTTTTGTGTCCAACGTTGGACCGCCCGTCTTATTTGAAAAATTATAAAAAATTTAAAAAGACAAGTCACGCATAAAGTATTAATCATGTTTTATCATCTAACAACAATGAAAATACTAATTATAAAAAAATTTCATATAAGACGGACAATCAAACGTTGGACACGGAAACCCATAGTTTATCTTTTTTTGACGGAGGGAGTATCTTTTAATATAAAAATAAAAACCGCTTCTCATGGTTTATCGAAAACCGATAAAAAACTGTTAAATGTGGATAGAAATGATTGAACGAGAGAGATTGAGCGAGAGAGAGAATTGAACACAAGTAGAGCGAATCGATGGATTTCTCATTGATCAACAGTTCATTTATACAATGTGAAGCGGTGTCAACCGCAAGGGACGCGATGTTTGTCGAGAGGGACGCCAAAGGGAGAGAGAGGAGCGATCTCCTCTTCTCTGCCAGTTAGTTTAGGAACCGTTGTTCCTATTTTCTTGGGTGGATGAGATCACCCGTAGTTTCTTAACACTCCCCCTTGATCGAATCAACCTGTGATCATTGCTTATTTATTGTTCCAGGTATCTGTAAAGATAATCTTAGAAACGATAAATAATTAGTAATTAAATATATCACGTAAAACTCCTCGAAAACCCAGTGGGAAAAATAAGGAGAGAACCATGATGTATTATTGACTATTTTTAGATCTCTATGATTAAAGCTCATAGTATGATCCAAAATAGTATAATGTCTACAGTTATTATTTAGTAAAAACCCCAGTGGGGAAAAGCCAAATGATAGGACATATAAGCTTATGTTGATATTATCTCGTTAAAAACTTTGGATGAGAAAACCTAAAGGGTAAAACTCATACAAAGGAAAAAGAGTATAATATCACGAAAATAGGTTATTTTCCAGAGGAAGATACTCCCCTTGAATCCTGCAAATTTTTAAGTCGTCTCATACCAATTCCTTCGACATATTTAAAGAATGTGGAGTATGGTAGAGATTTTGTGAATAAATCAGCAAGATTATCACATGACTTAGTTTGCAAGATATTTATCTCTCCATGTTGCTGAAGCTCATGAGGATAAAATAATTTAGGAGCAATATGCTTAGTGATGTTGCTCTTAATATAACCAGTTTTCATCTGAACAACACAAGCGGCATTATCTTCATAGATAATGGTAGGTGATTCCAATGAACCAATACCACAAGATGTTAATATGTGGTTAACCATTCTGCGAAGCCATACACATTCACGTGACGCCTCATATAATGCAATTATTTCAGAATGATTTGTGGAAGTGGCTACCAGAGTCTGTTTAGAAGACTTCCATGAAATAGCAGTTCCACCCTGTAAAAATACGAATCCTGTTTGTGATCTGGCGTTGTGGGGATCAGATAGATAGCTAGCATCAGTATACCCAATTAAAGTCGAATCCTGGTTCTTTTTAAAGAAAAGTCCAAGATCTCTTGTGCCATTAAGATATCGAAAGACATTCTTAACTCCAGTCCAATGGTGTTTGGTAGGAGCAGCGCTATATCTTGCTAATAGATTAACCGAGAAAGCAATATCTGGCCTTGTACTATTTGCAAGGTACATAAGTGCGCCAATAGCACTAAGATATGGAAAATCAGGACCAAGTACATCCTCTCCATCTTCCTTTGGTCTAAATGGATCTTTCTCCACGTCTAGAGATCGAACCACCATAGGGATTTTGGAAGGATATGACTTGTCCATATTAAATTTCTCCAAAATTTTCTGGGTATATGCACTTTGGTGCACAAGGAT